ACCCGCCCACGCTCATCCCCTAGGATTACTGCACGCCGCTCCAAGTGGAAGAGGCCAGGACGCTAAGCAAACACACAGCAGTGGGGATTCCTCTTCCCAAGGACTGAAGCTGCCCAGAGCAGCCTGGAGCTCTTACAGGGGAGGCCTCCCTCTTAACTTCCCAGCAGGTCAAGTGTGATGAGAGCAACAAATGGTCACATTAGCACTGGGTTTTAATATTAGCATGGAGGAAAGAGCAATACTACAGTGTGAAGCAGGCTAGACAGGAAACTGAAAAAATAAAACAGGTCATGGTGTTGGAGAAGAGGGTGATGAGCACAGCCCAGCACCCAGCTTGCAAAGATAACCCTTCCCAGCCACTAGCCTTTTCTGCTCGTGTTTTTGGGCAGTTCATATCCCTCCTAGTTCCTGGCCAGTTTTACATGATTCTGAAGTGTCACAAACTTCATTCTTCCTGCAGAGGAAGGTGTTTCCCTGGCCCTGCAACTTTCAGGGTTACTATATCCCCTTGGTACTAAGTATGTCGTCCTGTCCTTGTGCCATAGGCTCTCTATACAAGAAGATCAGAGCTGTGCAATGTATGAGGAAGTGGAAAATTAAATTTCTTTCATTATCACTGGTTAAAAAAGGTGAAGACTTAAAAAACAGCTCATGGCAGTCTGGCTCACAAGAACAGCTGTCTTGTAAAACCTAGTCTTAATAAAACATTAACTTAAATGCTGTGTAAACAATTTTCTATAAGCACAGAAATATTCTTCTATAGCACTTGCAGCCCAGCCTTCACCCACTCTTATTAAGAAAAAGCGGAAGGCAGAAACTGAAGGCAGCTCAATCTGCTTTCATTATCAGCCAATGATGCAAAAAGAAACCCAAAAGCCAAGGTGACTAAACATATAAAATTTTAAATGTTTGGCTGTTGAGCCACGGAGCTCTGTGGCAGACACATACACACATTTCTTAGTCTTTTTTTTACTCCTTTCTGCCCTCCCTCTGCAATTCCTGTCAGCTTAAACTGTGGGAGCTTAAAAGATACCCAACAATTGTTTTTTATACTTTCTATTCATCTACACCAATCAAACACCAGCAACAACTCTACAGGGATTACTAATTTAATACAGAACAGCTTTCCAGAAACCTGGAGTCAGCCCTGCGGTGCATCTTGCGACAACTGTGGGTCACTCCTTGTGATCTACTGGATTCCAGGAGTGCCCCTGCCCAGGGCAGGGCACCTCCTGCTTCCCGGGGCTGGATTTTCCCTGTTTTTGCATTACTTCCTGCGTTTGCTTTCCACAATTGCCCTCCAGTCGTCAGCCCAGGACAGCAGCCGCCTGCGGGGTGGCTTCAGCTCGATGTGTTTGTTATGGCAGCAGGTAAACAGGACGTGCTCCCAGCTCGGGTTCGGCTCCGCACCTGCGGAGAGCAAAGCTGCAGTTAGCTGCCTTTTCCCTCCCCAACTACCAGAAAGCAATGCAAAGGCTTCCCAAACCTCGGATGGTATCCTTGTCATCAAAGAGCAAGTCAGCAGACACAACTGTCTTATCCCGGGTTAGAATTATCCGCTCCACAAACTCCGGACCCAAATGTTTTTCTACCCATTTATACTGTGAAGGCAAGAAATAAGACAAAAAAAAATCAACCAGACTATTTTCCTATTCACTTCCTCATCACAAAAATCAGAGCAGCCAGAGCTTGGCAGTTTTCTCCCATGCAAAGCCAGGTCTGTCTGCAGCTCCCTGCAGTCTGGCTGTGGCCCAGGACACCAATATGACCTGTAGTTTCATGTTCTCCGCCAGCACCTCCTTTGCCACAGTCCAGGCTGAGCACACACAGCTTGTGCTCATCTATTGAGAAGTCATTCAAGTGTTTAACATCTCCCTTTTTAATATTTTTTAATTGCACTGTTCAAAGGCAAGAATAATTCCAGTGGCAGCCTCCCCTCCTTTCCAAGTTGAGGATTCCCTAGGAATTTCCCATTGCTTTTGGGCCATGCTGGAAGTTGCACTTGCCTGACCATACTGCAATGGTTCTTTTACTCTCAGCTGATGATACAGGCAACGAGAGGAGACTCCAGCTCCACCACCGCAGGGCTCGGCTGCTTTGCAGCAGGGCAGGCAGCACGCAGCCCTCCCAGATGCCAAGTCCCACACTTCTGTGTTGTGTTTGAGCAGCTCCTGCTCAGGGACACCCAGCCTGGCAGTCTTAGCAGGCTACTACTATCTTTATAAGTGAATAGTTTTGACTTGGGTGGTATGAAAGAGCAAGGCCTTGCAAAAGCAGCATTAAACAAGTAAAATAAATTCTCTCCCACCTTTTCCAGGATGCAGTGCTCATAGTTCCGGAGAGGACTTGTGCAAATAAAGACTTGAGTGCTGAAAAGAAACAGCCCTCATTAGCAGTCAGGGGAAAGCACATGAGATAACCGAGAAGGGTTGCACAGCACAAAGTGTCCTTACTCGGGTATAAGTATCATCTCCTGCATCGCTTCAATGGCTCCTGGAATTGGATCCAAGCCTAGAAAGAAGCCAGGTGACTCATAGATACTGGCTACCTTGTCCTGCAAGAGACATAAGGAGAATTAACCAAACCGTGCACATGCTTTTACCAGAGCTCTGTGCACTACGGTTGTCCAGTTGCCCAGGGTGCATAACAGCCTTCGAAGACCAGCATTTAAGAGATACAGACTGGCTCGATGCCAGCAGCTGGTTACAGTATTTCTCACCCTTAGGCTCCTCATAATCATGAGAAGCTGCTACCTGAGGGGCTGAGGCAGATCTGATCCTGGCTACGTGTCCTGGCCACGCAGCCCACGAGCAGCATCACAAATGTGGCCTCATGGCATAGTTCTACTTGCTGATGTCCACAGGTCCCTTGCCACTAACTCCCATGAAAACGCTGAGAACAAATAAGTGAAGCTTCTGCTCCTCTGCCCCACTTGCTGAAATCCTCTCTCACATTTGCTTATGGTTTAGGAATTTACCAGGGATGAGGGCATAGGCAGAGGCACTAACGACCCTATTTTTCTTCAGGACCAAAAGCACTAGGCTCATTATCCTCCAGCCTTTAGCACAAGGTCCAGGAAGGCACAGCCATGAATTTGGGGTTAATCCTTTTAATCCAAAAAGGCTCGGCAAGAGGGAAGAAAGTAGATGGAAGAGTTAGGGAAGTTGCTCTGCTGCTCTCCATGATTTTCAATCAGACCATAAATAACAGTTACGAAGGCAGAAGATCTTGACTCCCGTGTCAGAAGCTGTTCCTGTGCAGTAATGTGTCAGCACAAGGTCTGCTTTGAAAGAGTTGAACATTGCAGCAGCGAAGGCAGAGGTAGATGTTGCTGCTTCCTCTGATGCCAGCTGGGATGCAGCACAGATCAGGCAAGGCACTAGTGACAAACAAGTGCGGGAGGAGGTTATTTCTAAAGCTATAATCACTTCAGTGAGTGCAAGTAGAAGGGAAACAAGATTACTGCAGAAACAATGTTCTTCTAGGTCAAAGGGGCCAAAAAAGTGGAGCAAGATAAACAAAAGGAATTTAGTATTATGCAACATAGCGGCACCTTTGATCTCTAAAATGAAAAATACTATTTCCAGGCAATTCCTGTGCTTCTAGACAGGACTGTGCTTCTAGTCCTCATTCTTTTAATCTACCAAAAAGACATTCTTGCACTTTTTATTATTAGGAAGTTCACTGGTTTGAATCCACCGCTGGATAGTTAATTTAAAAAATTGCTAACCAGTGACTGCTCAGTGGCCTGTGTTAAATCACAGCATTTCAGTGCAGGTCAGAGCAGACAGCTCTTCTCATTGCACAATCCATCACAAGAGCACAGCAGCACCCACCCCAGCAGCATTAAGGGCTGAAGGTGCTCCCAGGATTAAGTTTTAGGCTCAGGCAGGAAGTTAGACTTCCACTATCGCTTCCATCTCAAGACATTTAAGTTTTACCTTTCCTGGGGTCATACAACGAGCTTCAGAGGTGTCAAGCCAGCATTTTTCCACAAGTGGCCTTGGCTTAAAAGTTGTACAAGACTGCTCTTATAGCCCTGCTGATGAAGCAGCAATAAAAGGTCAACATTAAATGAGTGTCACTCAGCTATCAAAATACTCAAAAAAGTCATCAAAAAAATCAAAAAAAAATCAAAAAATTCATCAGACAAAAGCTTGGAAGCTTTGCCTGATTCCAGAGGCAGATAGGAAGAGAATAAGGAGTCCGGGTGGAGGTGCAGCCATCAGATCTACCCAGACCTCTGTTTCCATGCAAAGCCACTGACCTCGGCCACGATTCCCTGGAGCTCTTTCCGAGAAGATTCAATTACAGAATCAGGGCCTATGTCTGAAAGCTCTTTTATCCTAGAGAAAAGACAGCAGAAACTGGCAACTTTCCACCATGTTACACAAAAGTCTGGCTTTGCTGGAAAATTTGATTTGATAGTCACAAAACCAGAAGCCATTTCTTCAAAAGATGTGTATAGAAAAAGGAAATAAAATGTTCTTCCTCGTTCTTATCCCACCCTTGCTTGGCTTGCTCTGCTCTTACCTCAGTCATACCTTGGAGGAACCATCTGCTAATTCTCCAAGCCATTATCCTGATGTTGAGGTTGCCTCAGGAATTCAGCTGTACAAATACAAGAGCTACCAGATCCAATCAGCTCTGCTGTTTATGTAGCCTAATTTTCTTCAGAGGAAGCTGCAAGGAAACTTACTGGAACATCTGCCTGGGAGAAATCCCCTTATTAACTTTCATCAGAGAGATAACTTAAATGTGAAGCTGGAGAACCTGCATCCCTACCTAAGTTTTCCTGTTTTCAATCCATATGATAATTCTAGAAATTCTTGCTGCTGTTAGGGATAGAGTCCTTTTCTCTGCAACTGACTGGGCCCAGATATTAGGAACATTGGTTGGTTAAGGCAAAAAACCCTTTCAACAGAATTGCTAGACACACAGGAGATCAGATAGGCAAGTACAGTAGAGAAAGTGTTAAATACAATCCTTTTAAAAGAAAATGTCTAAGGATTTGCAATGCAAAATTAGTAATCATCACTTTATGTTCATAAATAGAAAAATGAAAGCAAGTAACAGTTCAAGAGGCAGCTGCCAAGCACTAACAGAGTGCGGTTAAGTTATAATAAGTGACACTGTGTCTGTCCCTAGCTATGGAACAGGAGAGAAATGGATGTGCAGAGTCACTACTTACCACTAAAAGAACTACAGGCTCAATCCCAGATTTCAAAATTAGCGATGAACTGCTCAGTAAAGTACATGGGGAAGCCAGGATCAGCAACCGTTCAGTTTTCTAACGGACTATTGATTATCTTGTGGCAACACAAAGGGGGCGTGAGGTCTAAATCGCCACTATTTTTAATTTTGCCTTAAAACTGACTCCGATATCCAGTCATTATCAAAAATTACAGCAGTTAAAAACACAGCAACAATATGCTGTGTTTGTGGGCTCTACCACATGCTTTTTATAACATTGTCCGAGTTCGCTTCCCTACAGCACCCTTTCCTGCTCAGTGCATGTAGAGGGAATGGCATAGATGTGAGTTTTAATTTACTGTATAAAACCCACATATTGCATTTCCTGCCTTGCTAGAAGGCACGGCAACATTTGCAGAGCTGCAGGTAAGTTTGCAGAGCTGCTGCACAGCAAGAGTGGCTGGTGAGCACGTAACAAACAGGCCAAATATTAGTTTGTAAGCAGCCTCAGCCAGTTATTTCTGCAACAAAACCACCCATTCCCACACACGTGTCTCTGTAAAGGGCTGGCAACCCCCCGGAAGAAGATGCTAATGATACAAGGTTTATCACTATACAAATAAAAGAGTGTTAGCATGAAACCACTCTGCAGTGCACCTAAAAAAAAAAAAAAGAGAGAGAAAAGAGAGAAAAAGCAAAAAAGAGAAAAGGAAAAAAAATTAAAGAGAGAAAAAAATAAAGAGAGAAAAAAATAAAAAGGGAAAAGAAAAAAAAATGAAAAAGAAAAGCAAAAGAAATGAGAGGAAAAAAAGGGAAAGACAAAGCAAAGGCCCGTGTTTGCGAAGCTCCCGCACGCGCGCGGTTGGAGCCCCGGGGCGGCCCGGCCGCGCTCACCGCCAGCTCGGGGCGCAGGCCGCGGTACTGCTCGCGCACCGAGAAGCCCCTGCGCTGCGGCAGCTCCCCGCGCGGCTCGGCGGGGGAGGGGGGGGTTTGTTCAGCGCGCGCGGGGCAAGCGCCTCCTCTTCCTCCTCCGGCGGCGCCGCGTCCGAGCCGCGGATCCGACGCGCTCGGAGCTGCGCTCCGGCCCTCAGGCCCCACACGCTCAGGAGCAGCAGCTGTGTGGGGTTTGCCAGGGAGCCGCAGGGTTATTGCTCTCCTCCGGGGGCAGGATTTGCACGCGCCCAGAAGTCATACAGCATTTAATGCCAGCTATAAGGAAGAACAGCCCCTGCTGCAGGAGAGGAAGGGCACACACTAGAGCAAATCCAGATTTATGGGTTAAGCACCTAAGGCTAGGCCTTCTACAAAACTTACTTGGAAAGTCAGAGTATTTTTAGGTACTGTTCTTTCCTGGGGGGGAAGGGTGAAGACAGGACAATATATTTTCATGAGAAGAAACTTCCTTCTTCTCTGTTTTCTTGAGAGGGAAAAAAATGTTGAACAAAACACTTTTAATTTCATGTTCTATGGCATCTGTGTTCTAAAAGGTAAAAATGCAGCAGTAAGTCAGACACTTTCTTCTTCAAAGGAAGCATGTGATGGTGCCCTCAAGTCATGTAAAAGAACTCCCACTTTTTGCCACATTGCACCATTGCACCTGCTAAGGCAGGTAGGCTGAGCCAAGAACCAGGGAGAACACAGCTAAACCAAAACCATGAAATAAAACCCACACAGGAAACACTGCTTCAAAATTTCTATATTATTTACTTTTAAGCAACAGTCCAGCTTTGTGAAATTACAACACACATTTTAAAGGATGAGATTTTCACCTCATGGTCAAGCACCAGCATGATCATGCACAGCATTGAGTCAGTTGTAAAAAAAATGCCCTGTAATTTTTACTTATCTGATCCACTCCACCTTTACTGAATAAGGTCTGTTTATACCCAAATCCCCTCCTAGCGTTAGGACAGGCGGTTCTGGTCATCAGCCCTCTATTTGGCACGTACCCTGCATCATAATAGTCCAATATCAAGTTATTTCTCGTTAAAGGCAGCATGGTGTACACTAATCACTTTATGCTTTATATGGCACAGCAGGGCTCAAGGCATTTACCACATGAAGTCACCATTGAAGCCTTTTAGGTCACCGATGCTCCCATGTGGAGGAAGGGACTGCTCTTGCTGATTGTTTGCTGGCCCATTAACCAGGATTCTAGACCCTTGTAAAGCTAAGGGGTACTAAAAATCTCAGTACAAAAACCCTCTAAGCACACTTAGAACCAATCTACTCTCCTTTGAAATACACCACTATACCTCAGAAAGCTTCCCCTCAAGTCTATCACTAGAAAACACTCATGTCACTTCCAGTAGAGCTGGGGGAACACAGGACAGAACTGGGAAAAAAAAAA